GTAGAGATGGGGTCTCGCTCTTGCTCAGGCTGGTCTCGAACTCCTGACCTTGAGCGATCCACCCGCCTTGGCCTCCCAGAGTGCTAGGATTACAGACGTGAGACACCGCACCCGGCCAAGGTACTTACTTATTGATGAACCTTTAGAAGCATTCTCTTTAAAATCTTAACTGAGACAGGATGCCTTCTTTCACCACTTATTAAACTTTGAACTTAAAATACTAGCCAATACTGTAAGATAAGAAAATGGGATAAAAAGGCATAATTGTAAAGGAAGAAATAAAGACGTCATTGTTTGCAGAGGTCTATGTAGAAAACTCAAGGAAATGTACAGAAAATCTGTAGAATTAATAAAGAGTTCACCAAGGTTGTTAGATGTACGGTTAATATACAAGTGCAGCAACAAAGAGGAAATGTAATATTAGAAAAAATACCATTGATAATAGAAACAAAAGTAGAAAAGTAACTGATATTTTAACAGACCTAAATAGAACTGTATAGAAAGAAAGATTCACTATCCTGAAGTTGTTAATTTCCCCTATAGTAAACTTTGTTGCCCTGGCTAGAGTGCAGTGGTGTCATCATTGCTCACTGCAACCTCAAACCCCTGGGCTCAAGCAATTTTCCAGTCTCAGCCTCCCAAGTAGCTGGGACTACAGGTGTGTGCCACCATGCCAGGCTAATTTTTCTGTTTTTTGTAGAGACAGGGTCTCCCTCTTGCTCAGGCTGGTCTCGAACTCCTAAGCTCAAGTAATCCTCCTGCCTTGTTCTCCCAAAGTGCTAGGATTACAGGTATGAGCCACTGTGTGTAGCCTCAGTGTAACTCTAATAAGATTCCCAATGGGAATTTTTTTGCACTTTGTAAATGGATGCTAACATAGCCACGTTTGAAGAGAGGCTTGGCCTAAGGACTTTCTGTTATTTAAAACAGCGATGTTCATGCCAGAGACTTACAGGGTAGTGACACTGCCCAGGACGGGGCTGAGAGCCACCTCTTGAGCATGTGGAGACGAATGGGAAAGGGCTGCCGGTTTGGCAAGGTGGCTGCTCTGGACACGATGCTGGGACCACTGGAGATTTAAGAACTTTGCAAGCACGGGAGAGGACCTTTGTCAATTTGGGAGAGGGAAGGAGTTTTAAAATAAGCCAGACTGATCACAGACTAGAAAGGGATGACATTAAAATGAAAATCTATGTGCCAAGGTCACCATGAACAGAGTGAAAAGGACAAGCTCTGTGTACAGAGCTGAAACAATTCCGAAGGAAAAGTGGGGGAAGGCTACAAAAATGGCGACGTACAGAAAAGCCTGGACATCCAGTAAGTATTTGAGGAGATGCTGCTCACCCTCAGCTGTCACCAAGACTTGCAGATTAAAGTGATGGTGGGATGGGGCCACATAGTCACCCAGTGAGCAAACACCAAACTCGGATGAGCTTGGGGCTGAGAAGATGAGCAACAATGGGGATCCTCATCTGATGCTGGTGGGGGAAATGTGTCAATATCTAGTGAAATTGAAAATGTGCTTTCTTTGTTTCTTACAATTTCATTCCTAGGTATTTCCCTTAGAGTAATTTCGCCCTTGTATCCAAGGAGACACCACAGTGTACAAACTAAAAAGTTGTCAGGTGAATGGCAGACTATGGTATGTTACTGCAGTGTAACACTCTGCATTTCAGTTAAAGTGAACTCACCGGTTGTCAAAGAAGAAAGCAAGTTGCTGAGGGATATGCAGATCCTATCACTTGTATAACATTTGAAACATGCAACATACACATTATTTCATTTGACCTACCCCTCTATCTTTGTCCATCTGAAGAATGGAATGGGTAGCTGTGAAAGTGTGTGCCTATGTCCAGGAGCCCAGAGGACTACCTAAGGAGGAGGTGTCAGTACCAAGTGGTGGATGGGTTGTGGTCACTGTTGGATTTAAAATAATATAAAGCTTCCAACAACTCAATAGGAAAAAAATCGAGTAATCCTATTAAAAAATGGAAAAAGGATCTGAATAGACATTTCTCAAAAGAAGACATACAAATGGCCAACAGATATATGAGAAAATGCTCAGCATCATTAGTCATCAGATAAATGCAAATCAAAACTACAATGAGGTATCATCTCACCCCAGTTAAAATGGCTTTTATCAAAAAGACAGACAATAATGAATGCTGACAAGGATATGTAGAACACTTGTACACTGTTAGTGGGAATGTAAATTAGTGCAACCATTATGGAGAACAGTATGGAGGTTCCTCAAAAAACTGAAAATAGAACAACCATAGGACCCAGCAATCCTGCTGCTGGGTATATTTCCAAAGGAGGGGAATTCAGTATGTCGAAAAGGTGTCTGCACTCCCATGTTGACTGCAGCACTATTCACAATAGCCAGGATTTGGAATCAAACTGTTCATCAACAGATGAATGGATAAAGAAATGATGGTACATATACACAGTGTAATATTATATAGCCACAAAGAAGAATGAAATCCTGCCATTTGCAGCAACATGGATAGAACTGAAGAATGTTATGTTAAATGAAATAAGCCAAGTCCAGAAAGACAGATTTCACATGTTCTTACTCTTCCATCGTAGCTAAATATTGAAACAATTGATGTCATGGAGACAGATAATAGAATGATGGTTACCAGAGGCTAGGAAAGGTAGTGGGGAGGTGAGGATAAAGCGGGGAAGGTTAATGGGTTACATTCTACAGTTAGATAGAATGAACAATATTTCATAGCACAACGAAGTGACTATAATCAACAATAAGGGTATACCTTAAAATAACTAAAAGAGTAGAATTAGAATGTTCCTAACACAAAGAAATGATAAATGCCCGAGGCAATGTATACCCCAGTTACCCTGATTTGATTAATTCCATTGTGTGAATTAACTGTGAATTGTGTATCAAAACATTACATGGGGGCCGGGCGCGGTGGCTCACGCTGTAATCCTAGCTCTCTGGGAGGCCGAGGCGGGCGGATTGTTTGAGCTCAGGAGTTCGAAACCAGCCTGAGCAAGAGTGAGACCCTGTCTCTACTAAAAATAGAAAGAAATTAATTGGACAACTAAAAATATATAGAAAAAATTAGCCGGGCATGGTGGCGCATGCCTGTAGTCCCAGCTACTCGACAGGCTGAGGCAGAAGGATCACTTGAGCCCAGGAGTTTGAGGTTGCCATGAGCTAGGACGACGTCACGGCACTCGAGCCCGGGCAACACAGTAAGACTCTGTCTCAAAAAAAAAAAAAAAAAATATTACATGGGCTGGGCACGGTGGCTCATGCCTATAATCCCAGCACTCTGGGAGGCTGAGGCGGGAGGAGCGTTTGAGGTCAGGAGTTTGAGGCCAGCCTGAGCAAAAGCAAGACCCTGTCTCTACTAAAAATAGAAAAACATAGCTGGGCATGGTGGTGTGCACCTGTAGTCCCAGCTACTTGGGAGGCTGAGGCAGGGGGATTGCTTGAGCCCAGGAGTTTGAGGTTGCTGTGAGCTGTGATGAGACCACTGCACTCCAGCCTGAGCCACAGAGCAAGACTCTGTCTCAGAAAACAAAACAAATAAAAAAACCACTCCGAATTAGTGTCAGACACCCTGCCCTGCCCACACCTGGTCCTAAGCCTCCCTCCCCTCTGGCTCAGTTCAGGAGCTGGTTTGTTTTGACTAATTATGTATTGTCAGAAAAGTGATGTTTCAGTGACTTTGTTGTTATTAGGAGTGTGTCCATGCTGACCCTGTCATAAGTAATTCTAAACTTACGTTGAGGAAGCTCCTCCCTGACTGCACCCTACAGAGTGATCTGATCCCTTCTGGGTTCTTTTTTCCTCTGGGGAGTGGCGATGCACCTGGGATAGTTTCTGTGCGGTCAGTTAACCAGCAGCCAGCCAGGGAGGGAGGGAGTTTGGTGGAGCCCCTGCTGCTTCCTGGGCCCTCTTTTTCTGGGGTCACTAGATGGAATTCTGTGACTGTCAAGGGTCTTTTGTTGCCACTTTCTGTCTACTTTGGAGAGCAATTTCTAGCTTCCTTCTTGCCAGTTAAGAAAAATACTATGCTTTTTTTTGGCCGTGCGCAGTGGCTCACGCCTGTAATCCTAGCTCTCTGGGAGGCGAGGTGGGCGGATTGTTTGAGCTCAGGAGTTCGAAACCAGCCTGAGCAAGAGTGAGACCCCATCTCTACTGAAAATAGAAAGAAAATTAATTGGACAACTAAAAATATATAGAAAAAATTAGTCGGGCATGGTGGCGCATGCCTGTAGTCCCAGCTACTCGGGAGGCTGAGGCAGGAGGATCGCTTGAGCCCAGGAGTTTGAGGTTGCTGTGAGCTAGGATGACGCCACGGCACTCTAGCCCGGGCAACACAGTGAGACTCTGTCTCAAAAAAAAAAAAAAAAAATACTATGCTTTTTGAGATGAATCTTTGGATGGGTGGAGCATTTGGTTAACAGCTCTTCCTCGTCAGCCCTTGTCTGTCAGGCTTAGCTGAGATGTGCAGCTCATGTATATATTTGGTCATGTTCCTGAAACACAGCTGAAGAGACTGGAGTAGGGAGGGAAGATGAGGAGTGTGCTGGAAGACACTGTCTGTGAAAAAACTGATGTCCCCTTTGTGTGAGGGTGATAGAAAACCTGAGCAGGGGAGAGAATGAGCAATTCAGGCAGCTGCCAGCATGGTGCCCTTATTTTATCTGCATGTGAGGTCCCCCACTGTGATAAAAAACACTGCAAATGTTTACCAAAGGCTTCGGGTAGCAGCAATTTCATTAGCAGACTTCTTAGGCCTGTGTTTTAAAGTCTTTTCCACCTTCCCTGATCTTAATTTTTAAAGATTCGTTAGAGTTGAGCCAATGATTTATGTCTCTGTTCTTTGTGTATGCCTTTGTATTAGTTACCTATTGTTGCATGACAAGTTACCTCAAAACTTAGTGGCTTAAAACAGCGTGCATTTATCATCTCACAGTTTCTGTGGGTCAGGAATCTAGGAGCTGCTTGGCGGGTGGTTCTACCTCAGGCTTTCTCATGAGGTTGCAGTTGAGACGTCAGCTGTGGCCCCATCATCTGAAGGCTTGACTGCGGCCAGTGGATCTGCTTCTGAGGTGCCTACCTCACTCACGTTGCTGGCAGGAGGCCTCAGTTCCTCACCATGTGGCCCTCTCTGCAGGGCTGTTAGTGTGTCTTCATGACACGGGAGCTGGCTTCCCCCACAGCGGGTGATTTGAGAGAGGGCATGGTAGATGTCTGTAATGCCCTAGGAGGCAGGCTCATGGGCTGCCTCAGAGGAGGGGGCTGGGCTGCAGCACTCTTCTCTGGAGTCTAAAAACAAAAGGAAGCTCTAAGAAGATGTGTGAGGTGCAGGAGGGAGTGTGATCTATGAGCCACAGCTCAGCACAGGTTTTAGATGTAAGAGGAAGAAGGGTGCACCCGGCCCTTGTTGATGCAGCAGCTGTGGATATTGTTATGGTTCATTCTAATTGGGGTTAGTGGCTAAACAAGTGCAGCAGGCCCACAAAGGAATGTACTGTGTTTGGGGAGCTTGGGCAGGCACCTTGTGGATCTGAAGCCCTGCACAGGAACCTTTGCTGGATGATGATCTGAGATGACCCTTGGTGCTTGGAGAGTTCAGAGCTAGTGAGCTCAGCAGTGGGTGCAGCAGACAGAACAGAGCCCCACAGGCTCAGGACAGGGGCTAGGAATGCCCAGGTGGGGGTTGAGGGCATAGGGGAACTGAGTGCCAGAGATCAGAGCCGGAGTTGAAACTGGCATCCTGGTGGCAGGAGGTCACCGGCAGTCAGGCTGGGCATGACTGCAGGTTGGCATTCACCCTCGTCTGAAACAGTGGTGGGTAGGTATTGGTGGTGTTGGTGTCCAGGCAGGGGTGCAGCAGCAGCAGGATCAGGGCTGGATGGGTGGTCACGTGACTCAACCAGGCAGCAGGAGGCCAGGTGGTGGCATGGCAGGCTATGAGAAGCTGCCTGTGGTGACTGCTTTGTGAGGAGGGGTTTGAGTTTAGGGGCAGAGGTTACCTGTGTTGGCTGGACAGGTGGTTGGTCTAGGTGGTGATGGTGACCAGCCAGCATTAACCCGCTGATTCCACACCACTGCCAGGTGGAGCGTTGCTGCCCTCGTTTCACAGAGCAGAGACAGAGACAACACCTTACTTGCCCATGTTCACACACTGCTGAGGATGAGCCAACATCTGGTCAGGTCTGGTTCCAAAGCATGCTGGTCAGTGCTCCGAGTCAGTCGGCAATCTTCCAGGGCCTTGTGGGCAGTGAAGTGTCTATCCTGACTGCTCAGCTCTGCTGCTGTAGTCTGAAAATAGCCACAGATAGCACAGAAACAAACACATGACACTGCGTTCCAATAAAACTTTGTTTATACACATTGATACTTGAATTTCCTGTAACTTTTGTATATCATGAAATATCTCCTGAATTTTTTCAGAAATTTGAAAATACAAAAATCTTTCTTAACTCATCAGCTGAACAGAAATAGGCTGTCCCCTACTCTCTGGATCTATGGCTCTCAAACTTGGGGCCACTTTAGCAACCCATGAGAAACCTTTAAAGCACTTGTGCAAAGCCCACTAGATTGAGTTGGCGTTGGGAGGACCTGAGCACCACAGGTGTTAAAATTCCTGGGTTGTCACCATGTGCAGCCAAGGCCCAGAGCCCAGGGATCAGATCTCCACGTGTACATGAATCTCCTGGAGACGTTGTGAAAATGCAGATTCTTGGTAGGCAGGGCTGGGGCGGGGCTTGGGAGTCTGCATTTGTAGCAATGTCCTAGGGGGCGGATATCAGCAGACCCACTGTGGCTGGAGAGCCAGGGAAGCCCTGTCTTTTGGCTGTGCAATAGTTGTTTCTGTCTGCTGGCCTGGGCTCTAAGAGAAATCGGGACGTACTCCTGGGTGTACTGCTCTTACCGCCCACCCAGGGCTCATGCCTGAAAGATGGGCGCTGTGGCCAGTGAAGAGTGCCAACCTGGGCCTCCTTACCTCCATGCTCAGAGGTGGCACTTCCATGGGACTCTCACTACTGCTGATTTTTCAAGGATATCTAGCCTAGAAACTGTCTTACAAATGATTTATCGATCTTGGAAAAGTGTATTTTTTTTTCTCTTTTTACCATTTATCATTTCTTGTGTTTACATAAATTTGTATGTATTGTTTTTACCGGCACTGTTTTCATTTATGAATTTTCAGGGAGTCACAGCGTCAGTTAAATGCTATTTTTCTTTGAAGCTTTTATGGGAAATAGTTTCATGATGTGGGAATAAAAATGTTACACACTAAGTTCTGAAGGGCCATGCATTTTATTTCAGTTTTATGCATTTAACCTCCCTAGTGCACCCCTTTCCTGTGTTCACAGGTGTTTGCCGAGCACCCAGATGCTTCAGGTGAGGAGATTGAAGAATTGCTCGGATCGCAGTGGAACATGCTCAATGAGAAGCAGAAAGCACGCTATAACACCAAATTTGCCCTAGTGACCTCTGCCCAGTCTGAAGAAGATTCTGGTAAACATAAAACTGAACTAGTATCCTCTGCTTAGGTGCAACGTGTGAAGTGTAGCAAACTGAGCTCTGGTGTTGGAACTGTAGGGAAATGTGTCCATCTCCCCAACTCTGACCCATGGTATTTGGGCCAGCTGCCAGAGTACCTGTGGTCACAATGAAAGCAACCTCTGCTGTGTACATTTCCCTACTCATCATGAGAGCTGTTCCATGTGATCCTCTGTCTGGACTATGGGTCCCTTGCTCTTTTGCCCAAGTGAAGCAGGCGCTGCAGTCACTGCTGCTGATGGGTCGTGAGGGGTAGGATAGGCAGAAGGGAACCAGGTGGTTCCAGGACTCCAGGCCTGCGGGATGTGGCTGGGTCAGACTTCAGGCCAGTGGTTACCAGCAAGGCTGCTCTTCCCACGTTGCTGAGAGCTGTCCTGCCAGTCTCAGCGTGCGCTGCCCTTGCGTGGAGGTAGTTCCTGGCCTATTGGCTTGAGATCTTGCAGGGTGAGAAGGGTGACTGGACTGACCTTAAATTTGAGTGTCTTTTGGTTCTTCCTAGGCCTTCAGTTTAAAAACAAAAAGTGGGCTAGGCACAATGGCTCATGCCTGTAATCCTAGCATTTTGAGAAGTTGAGGAGGGAGGATCACTTGAGGCCAGGAGTTCAGGATTGCAGTGAGCTATGATTGTGCCACTGTACTCCAGCCTGGGCAACAGAACGAGACCCTGTCTCAAAAAAAAAAAAAAAAAAAGTGCTGCTGTGCTTCGGGTATTGGTAAGAGCTGGGAGACAACACTGTAAGATTTGGAGAAAATGTGTAACAGTGGTCAGATTTGTGATCTGTGTGTGCTTGGATACGTAAGTTGTGGAAAACAGATATTTTAATGTAAAAATAAATGTGACGTATTTGGGTATCCATTTAAAATACAAATTCTGTATCTCTCAAAGCTCATCATTGAGGAGATTTGGAGAGGCCAAACATAGTGTTTCAAGACCCACCTCAAAGGAGTCCCACAAGTAACCACAGTCTGCCTTCATGTGCTCGCTTGTGCTCATGGAGCCGTGCTGTGTGTGTTGGGCTGGTATCCCAGATGCACTGTATCACCTTTCTCTTTCCCTCAGATGTTGTTATCTTGTTTTAGGGCTTTCGAGATCTCCTCATCAGTTATCTAATTAATCTTGAATCTTGTTCAGTTTGCTCAGTGTTCGTTGCAAATACTATGATTTAGAATAGCAAGGATATTCGGGATTTGTGTATTTTCTTTAAAAGGCAATAGTTCACCTCAGTCTTCATCAGTACACTAAATTTAGAGAAGTATCTCCTTTCAGTGATTTGCTTATTTTAAAATGAGCTGGGTCTTCCCGAAGCCAGATTTAGCTTACTCTTGAAGAGTAAGTGTGAATCTGATTGTGTTATATTTTGCCATTTTGGGCTATTCCTGAGCACTTAGTGACAAGAGAAGGAACAGGTAGGGTTTCTGTCCACAGCGTGTGTCAGGTGCACTGGTTCTTGGGTGCCCTTTGTCCTTGACGTCCAGGTGAACCCCGTACTAACAACAAAGATGGTGTGCAATGCCTGTGTGTGACCTGACCCTTTGTCTCAGTGTTGGAAATGCAGACAGTTGCCCATACTACTTATTTCTGTAAGAAACAACTGCTGCCTCATTCTAGGTAGAGGGAGAGGTACTCAGGAGGTGCTTATGTGAAGGACTGTGAGTTCACCTCACTTGTGGGAAGATGAGGCAGCAGGTTGATGCTGCCACTGGCAGGTGTCTGGCTTAATGAAGCAGTTGCTGATGGAGGATTCTAGGGAGTCAGGCTGTCTGTGCTGCTTGGTGCTCATGTTTGGGCAGTGGCTGCGTGGATCCTACCATCCACCACTCTGCATGCCTCTCCTGATGCTGCCTTTGCGGCCAGCCTGCGGTGGTGTAGGAGCAGAGCTTGGTGAGGGCCGCTTGCTGGACCCTGATCACCTCAGTCTGGAACCCAGCTCTCTGGTTGCTTGGTTCTTCTCTAGCAGTAACCTTAGGCCAGACCCAAGGTGAGGCTCTGCACATATTGGCACCCAGGGCAAGGACACTTGTACCTCCTCCGAAGGCCCTGCTGGATGCCATGGAGCTCAGCACTCTTGTGCTGGTGTGTTGTCCTCAACAGTAGTGAGGCTTGAGGATGACAGTGTCCTTCCACAAGATGTTTGATGAATAATCTGTTAATAAAAAACCTTGAACCTCTGTAAAGCAGTCATGCAAATGAAAATACTGGATTTGTGTTAAAATAAACATTGCCATGTTCCAATTCATCATCTTTTTAGAATTTGCACTCTTGTATATTTCAATATCAGTACTTTTTGGACACTTTAGGTCTTTGATTAGTTGATACTCCTGGGAACACCTAATATATGGCACAGTCAAGCAAACATGTAGAAAGCCCTTAATTTGCAGATATAAATGTAGTGTTGCTACTTAAAATGCTTATTTAAGGTATTGTATAAATAGTAGCAGTTGTATTTTTTTTAAAGTTCAACTTAAATTCTACATGTTAAATTTGAATGTTAGCAAGAGATTTTTTTAAAAATATTGGGTTATATTTAAATTTAATGCCATAATACATTAAAATATAATTATTATAACAAATACCAATGTAATAATCTCTAGATTAGATAAAATATTTTCAGTCCCCAGTTGAGATTTGATGTGTAAGACATCCTGGAAATCAGCAGGATTACAGGAAATCCGTCATGGGCTGGATCTATACATTGAAGCTTTGGAGGGCAGTTTTTGGAGTGTTTTTCATGTAAATTTCCCCCATTCCTCATTCCAAGGTAACTTAAATGGGAAAAAAAGAAACCACACAAAGAGGACACAGGACCCTACAGATGGTGTTGAAGTTGAGGATGCACCCAGGAAAAGACTCAGGACGGACAAGCATAGTCTTCGGAAGGTAATTATATGGTCTGGGTTTGCCTGGCCTGTTAGAACATGTGCCATGTGACCCTTGGTGCCAGTGTTTCCCTACATGAGAATGCAGACAGGACATAGGCAGTGGTCTTCTCAGCTCTCCCTAGGGTGGCACTCAGCAAGGCTTGCTTTTCTCACAAACCCCATGGAGAAAGGTTGTTGAAGAAATCAAGTTTATATCATCCTGGGATGTTAACACAGAAACTGCTGATAATTTGCTATCCAAGAAAACAAACATCCAAACACTTTGAGTAATACTTGATTTTTGGATTGGACAAAATTGTATATTAAAAATAACTCTTGTCTATAGGGCTTATTATTCAAGGTGTAAATAATGAGTTGACATGAAAGTCCATTAGAAATATGTATTATACTTCGTTAAAAAGTTAAAGAATCCATTAAAGGTATTGAAAATAGATTTATGAACTCATTTACATTTAGTTCATTAGTAATTCATGTTACTGTTCACTCAATGGGAATACAAAGCAGGCTGCACAGGCCTATTGGATGCAACAGAGAAAGGAACAGCATAGCTATGAAGGCCTAGCTTCACATAAAGGCAGCCCTAGGTCCTTAGACTTTGAGCATATTCCCAGGATGTATCAAGGGACCCAGAAGGGAGTGAAACTGACCACAGTCCATGTATCCAAAGAAACACTGGATTATTCTGTCTAGCATATAGCACTCATGCATATAGTAAAACAGAGCCCTTTTCGAGCATGTGATGCAGTGCCAGTTATTCATCTCTGAGGTCCAGTTAGCTTTTTCATGAAGTGAAAGTTTAAAAAGACTTTGAACTTTATATTTGAATTTATATTCAGTAATAGTTCTGACAGGGAAGTCATGTATTTATACTTACGAGTAAAGCTTCATCCTATCTTTTACTGATCTAAATTAAGCTGCTGTTTTTATTGTTTTATTTTGAAGAATGGAAGATAAATCTCACATTGCTAAAGTGTAAATGTGTGGACACCACATCCTCTATTTTTTTTTTTTTTTGAGACAGAGTCTCACTCTGTTGACCAGGCTAGAGTGCTGTGGCGTCAGCCTAGCTCACAGCAACCTCAAACTCCTGGGCTCAAGCGATCCTCCTGCCTCAGCCTCCCGAGTAGCTGGGACTACAGGCATGCGCCACCATGCCTGGCTAATTTTTTCTATATATTTTTAGTTGTCCAGCTAATTTCTTTCTATTTTTTTTAGTAGGGACGGGGTCTCGCTCTTGCTCAGGCTGGTCTCGAACTCCTGAGCTCAAACAATCCGCCCGCCTCGGCCTCCCAGGGTGCTAGGATTACAGGCGTGAGCCACCACGCCCAGACCAAATATGACTTAAAGAAATAAAATAGAGGATGTGGGCTGGGTGCGGTGGCTCACGCCTGTAATCCTAGCACCCTGGGAGGCCGAGGCAGGCGGATTGTTTGAGCTCAGGAGTTCGAGACCAGCCTGAGCAAGAGCGAGACCCCGTCCCTACTAAAAAAAATAGAAAGAAATTAGCTGGACAACTAAAAATATATAGAAAAAATTAGCCAGGCATGGTGGCGCATGCCTGTAGTCCCAGCTACTCGGGAGGCTGAGGCAGGAGGATCGCTTGAGCCCAGGAGTTTGAGGTTGCTGTGAGCTAGGCTGACGCCACAGCACTCTAGCCTGGTCAACAGAGTGAGACTCTGTCTCAAAAAAAAAAAAAAAATAAAGTCATATTTGTAGTTCAGGGAAGCATTTGCATTCTTCTGGGGCACCTGCCATCAGATGGGGTTGTTCAGTGATCAGAGTTTTCAGTAATAAGCTAGGCGAAATTCCCCTGGAGTCACTAAAGTTTGCAATTACCAGGAAGCGCATCCTTAGTATTTCCTCTAGTCACCTACTATTAAAGCAGCCCTTTGCTGGGAATCATACTGAAATTGGTTGCATTGAAATATGTATATAATAATATCCCTAAAAAAAGTGTGATCCTGGACATTTGAAATAGCAAAATTCACATTAAGTAGCTAGGTAGAAATATTTTTATTAAGTAGTAGCTGAGGAAATAGCATGTGATAAAGTAGTGTTGTCTCCTCTGGTCTGGTTTTCACAACCCTAAAGCCACACCACATATGAATTCTAATGTGAGTGGAGTACTTCTGATGTGCCAGCACTGTCCCAAGTGCATTTGCCTGCTACTTTGTCCACAGTCCTTGTGACCGCCCCCTGCTCACCTCCGGCATCCTGTCCACCTGCCCTGCTCTCAGGCAGGTTGGAAATGTGGGGTATGAGTAGTGTAGGCATCTTCCTCCTGGAGTGCAGGGTAACCCCTGGGCAGTACTTCCCTAGCGCTTTGGAGGCAGGGCATTTTCAACTACATTATTCAAAATCTCGACAAAATGTTCAGTTCATGATCCCTTCTCTCTTTTATTTTATTTTTTTTTGCTATTCTCAGTTGTGAAATGTGTTTTACTGATCTTTGTTACATATATCTGAAGTTTGTCTCAAATTGGAAATGCTCAATGTAGTGAATTAGACTAGTAATCTTTTATCTAACATGGCATTGCTGACTTTAACTTAATTGGGCACCTCTTGAGTAGTATAGATTTCCTTAAATTAATACTCTGCTTTGGATTTGGTGGAATGTTTAGGAAGCATGTTGAATACAGCTCATGTCAGGTATCTTAACAACATGACTCACCCAGATCATCCTCCTGACAGATGTGAGAGCTGGAGTTGCAAGGAAAAAATTAGTCCAGATTGTAAAAAAAAATTCTGAGATTGGACAACCATGGATGACTTGTGTATTTGGGACACATTTCCAAAGGAAAAAGTTTCTGTCATGAAACTTTTCAGCAACCTGTGTTTTTATTCACATGAGATTTCTTTCCTTCCTTTTCTTTTTGTCTGTTCTTCTTTTTCTTTTCTTTCTTTCTTTCTTTCTTTCTTTCTTTTTTTTTTTTTTTAAATAATAGAGAGACACAATCACTGACAAAACGGCCAGAACAAGTTCTTACAAGGCCACAGAGGCAGCCTCCTCACTCAAGAGCCAGGCAGGTAATGTGGCCAGCACTCCTTCCTTCTTGACTAATTCTGGGTGCCTGGGCTGGGCTAGGTGGGTGAACAGGGTGGCCCAGTGGGGGGTGGGCTGAGAATGTGGAGGGGAAGGAGGGGCTGAGGAAGGAGAACAGGGCAGGGGAAGGATCCACAATTAAGCTAGAACCCAAAAGGATAAGAAAGAAAGGAGGTTCTCATGCAGTTGGGAAATAAACTGTTTTAATGTATAAGCTGTTTAAGGATTTGGCTGAATTTTATGGAAGTTTTCTACTGATGTTTTACTTGGCTGTATTGTTTTCAATTTAAAATTCTACTAGAGGAGTGATTGAAACCAGAAATTTTCAGGTTTCTTCCTTGATAGTGCCAGTTGTTGCTATAAATTCCACCACTCTTCAGTATCCTGATACTCTGTGTAACAAAAGTAATGACTAGTTATTTCTATTTCACACGTTAAAGAAGCTAGCTTAAAATGTTTATGAAAAATAACTATCAAAATAAAAAGGGTAATCATATTCCATTTTAGTTATCTTTTTGAAATACTGTCTGATAATTTATAAGGAAGGCTTACTATCTCTCTAACTCTTAATTAGAAAGGAAAACAAAACCCAGGGGAGAGAATAAGTGGAGATTGGGAATGGTTGTTTTTATTGTTTTGCATGAGGTGCTGTACTGGTGGTTTGGTTTTGTTTTCTTTTTTCTTTTTTTTTTTTTACGAGACAGGGCTGGGCACGATGGCTCAGGCCTGTAATCCTAGCACTCTGGGAGGCCAAGGCTGGAGGATCACTTGAGCTCAGGAGTTTGAGACCAGCCTGAGCAAGAGGGAGACTCTGTCTCTACTAAAAATAGAAAAATTATCTGGGGTGCAGTGCCATGCGCCTGTAGTCCCAGCTACTTGGGAGGCTGAGGCAGGAGGATGACTTGAGCCCAGGAGTTTGAGACCAGCTTGGGCAACATAGCAAGACCCTGTCTCTTTATTTATTTATTTTTTTTATTTCAGCATATTATGGGGGTACAGATGTTTAGGTTACATATGTTGCCCTTGCCCCTCCAACCCTGTCTCTTTAAAACAATCAGTCAATCAATCAATCAGTTAAATAGACTATTAAAAAACGACATTTGTGAGTGATTGGAAATTTGAATGCTGACTAGATATTTGATGATTTGATTAGTAAGTATGATAGTGGTATTGTGGTTATATTTAAACTTTGTGTTTTAGAGATTATAAACTCAATTTTCCATGGATGAAATGATATGTATGGGATTTGCTTCAGGATAATCTGGCAGGGGGATGTGGAACCAGGTGTGGATGGAGCCACATTAGCTCCAGGTCAATAGTCTTGGGGCCCAGGCAGCAAGGACATGGGGTTCATTGTACAGTTTGTCTGTTTTTGTTTACATTCAGATTTTTCCATTGTAAAAAGTTAAGCCAGATGGACAGAGGAACCCAGAAGATTCATCATTAGAACTTCACTTGTTTGAGGGTTAATTTTAAAGCAGTAAAGACATTGAGGGTTTAAGATTTCAAACTTTATTTTATAAACCAAAATTATTTTACAGCAACGAAAAATCTGTCTGATGCATGCAAACCACTGAAGAAGCGAAATCGAGCTTCTGCGACAGCATCTTCGGCTCTTGGGTTTAGCAAAAGTTCATCTCCTTCTGCATCCTTAACTGAGAATGAGGTAAAATAATAATGATAATAATCATGATGATAACCGTGGCATTTATATGAAGGCCAGCCACTTAGCTACCAAGTTGCAATGTGAGTAAAGGGTCAGACTTAATAAGCCTAACACTGGTGTTCTCCATAAATGTAGGTGAGTTTTAGGTCCTCTTAACTATCTAAAATTAATGAAATGGAACTAAATAGTGCATTATTTTAGTCTTAGCACTTTAAATATAAATACACACACACAGTGTATGTGTAAATGTTCATATATACTTCAGTCTCCATGCAGTTTAATTTTTCTTGAAATCTGTCTTTAAAATGTTGTGTTTTATATAATCCTCACACTGTAAGTTTTCACATGAAAGTAAGTCTGCGTTGGTTCTAGCATGACACTGTGTCAGTTGAGCTGACACTGGTCATTGTGCACTTATACCAGTGGGGTGAAGGGTGGCTCACATGCCACACTGAACTCCTGTGGCTTCCAGACCTAGGATTGTGGAGGAAGCCAGTGATTTCTTTGTTCTCATGCGTTTCGTAACTTTGGGTCCATGTCTTTGGTCCTTTAAATTCTGGCATATTCTTAGTTATTTGAATGTTGAGGTGAGTCAGAACTATCATTGTAATATGACTCCTGTTTTCTGGACTTGCAAAATATATGATAGCAAAATAATAGCTATTTGAGGCTGTTACCTGCTATCATTGTAACAGGACATCTAGACTTCATTATCAGATCTAAAGTCTTTGCCATGGCTAAAAACAAAACAAAAAACGTCCACAGAATGTAAGTGTGACCACTTTTTTGTCCAGAGGTAGTTTTGGTTTCCTGATCTTAGTGATTACTTTCACGGAGCTTGCTTTGAAGTTTTAATTTCTTGTTATTTTGTTCCCTGTGATTCTGTTTTTCTCATTGTAGACATGAGTCCTGTTTTTATATTTATGAGGAGATAGACCTTTTTGGAACAAGGTAGTGAGGCAGAGACTGGATAGGCCTCTTACTCTTGCTGGGTCAGAAGGCCCGTGGAGGGATGGGGTGTGCCTCAACTATCTCCTCCTGTTAGAGGAGGGGTAGGCCTTCCAGTGTGTGAAGGTGCCCAGAGAGCGCTGCCCTCGCCGTTGCGAACCCTCGGTGCTCGTGCAAATAGAGACTACTCCTCTGAGTGGAATTTTCTTCAGTGGCTCAAACCAACTTAGTAGTTGTCAGGAGCTGCTCACATATGTGGGACTGGGGCTTGCTTATAGTTGATATGTATAGATAACTAAACATTTCTTATATTTGGGCAGATTTGAGAAAATGCAGTAAGAATTCCTTACTGAACTTCTAGGAGCTTACTAAAACACGAAAAGGCAAATTTTATGTAAATTATTTTTTCTTTTTCCTTTCTTTCTTGTCCAAATTCAGGTTAGTATCCTAGAAAATTAAACGAAAGGTAGTCTACAATTCCAAAGAAGAAGAACATTAAAAAGTTTTAGTTCTGTAGACCCTTTCATTTAAGTTGGCATTTTTGTTTTAAAGAATTTTTAATGAGTTTTTTTTTTTTTTTTTTTTTTTTTTTTTTTTGCATCATATTTTGGTCTACCTATCTGGGTGAGTTTTTACGTATACTGTTGTCAGGTACAATAGAAAGAACACTGAGGCTACTGAAATCCTGTCTGTGGTTCCTGATCATAAATCCTGTGTATTAGAGGCTTTGGTTTAGAGTAGCACACGGGCTGACATGGCAAGGGTGAAGGCTGAACAAACTGGTTAGGCATGCCTGTGAGTGAGGCGAGTTTAATCTTTCTGGCTTAGACAGTTGTTCTGAACATGGAGAAACTTAGATGAAACATTTTATAATTATTAGACTTAACTGATTTTAAATTCTTTAGAATAGATTATTAAATCATTTATATTATATATTAAATACATGAAATTCATATACCTTCTTACATTTTTAAGGTGATACATAGATCCCATAACATGCATTATGTTCCTTATATAAAAACATTTAAATTACTAGGCATTTTGCATTAGGCTACTTTTGTGTGGCTTATATAAATTTTCCATTAAAGTTCATTTTTAAAGAATTATACTATTAATGAAAACAGCTTTAGTCAAACAGACTTGTCTATTGTGTGTTAACACTACTGAACTGTAGTAAATGTTTATAGTGTATATAATGTTGAATGCCTGTTAGCAGTATGAGGCAAAGTGTAGTGTTATTAAAAAAAGACAAAAAACAAAAAACACTTCTGGGCCTGGTTCTGACATGAGTTAAGTGACCATGGGAATTGCTTTTTGGGGGTTCAGACTGACCACCTATTTGGGTTACATACCTTTTGCATGTTTATATTTCCTTTGTTTCATCACACTTGATTGAAATAAGAGATTTTCATAGGATTGGTATTTCAAGACATTTTAGGTCATGTTGTGGTTTAAATTCCTCTTGAAAAAGGTATATATGATAAATAAAATTTATATTGGAATAATTATTACATGGTACTACATCACCCCAATGAAGAGAATAGATTAAAATTACACACGTGCATGACAAAGGCCTGTGAAGGAATTAATGTGATTTAAGTGTTTTGTAACTTCATTTCTTATTCCCTTAGTAGAGCAAATTCTTATTTTTTTCGCCTTCACTGGTAACAGCTTTTATGGGAGCCCACATCAGTCAAGTTGGATTTGAACTCAGCTGCCCTGTACTGCACTTAAAATGATGTAATATTCCAAGATGCCTGCTGCAGGTGGTGTATCATCGTACACACTAAGTGACATTTCTATCACAATCATTTTATGGAAGATGTGTGATAATCTGTTTTTACTGGTATTAATAAACACATACAATGAAGAAAACAGATAACAAATTTTAAGACTAAGGTAAGATACCTAATCAAGGCCATTTACTCAATCACATTCATCTCATAATAGAAACACATTCATATTCCAATGGTCAATGTAGATTTCAGTTGAAAAGCAGGCCCTTCAATCAGGGGCTGTCCAGAGCTGCAACAGTGACACCACACAGAAAGGGTGGTCCTGTTAGAGGTCGTTTTCTCCTCTGGTTCATAACTTACTGAATTTTTATTGAAAAGTGTCAGCATCTGTACCTTCAAAAACAAAGAACAAATAGTACACATTAAAAAGGGTCTTTGTCTACTATTCTCATTGCCAATGAAATGTATTCAAGACTGTAGATACTAAACTATAATTTCCAGCGTAAAAGGCAGGAAGAGTTTTGATTCTGTCCTTTTTTACTAAACAGTTTTACTATGACACTAGATGTAGTAAATTTTTAGGAAAAAATACCATTTAAAGTATCATTGTGAACCATTTAACTCTTTTGATTCAAGGACTGACATATGTATATATATATATCTATCTCTCTCTCTCTCTTTCTATATATATATATATATATCTAAGGGATACTGTAATCAGGTTATTTATACCAGCCACTTCATCAGTTGCTTTTATAGAACATCAGCCCTCATGTTTCAGTGTCTTAATCTTGGGTGAGCAGCCTGGTGTCGTGCCCCCAGGTGTCCGCATGTTTGCATGGCGAGGAAAAGGCTTCACTTGCCCTTCAGGTCATAGATGCAGAATGCATGCTAGTCACAGTACCATGTGAATAGCCTGCAATTCATTCCCAGCAGACTCTTCAGCTGTGTTTTACCTTTAATGAAACTTTCTGACTAATACTTCTGTTCCAAACCATTAAGTGATGTAATGCATGTAACATACTTAGGGCACCTGTGCCTGGCAAGGACTACGTGGTTCGCTGTTGTGACAGTAACGGTCTAACAATAAAAATAATAAAATCACCATCATTCTATTCTTATCCACAAGTATAAATTTTGCTTTGGCATGAAAAGTGGTCCCCTTGACTGCATTATGCATGTGGGGCCAGACTAAACCCAGAAGTGGCAGAATGCTGGATTTGTTTGTGTGGCACTTTAGGGAGCTGGACGGTGTGGCTGAGGGCTGGTTGGGTTGCTCTGCTGGCTGTGCCCAATTGTTGTGGGATACATGGCCTCAAAGATGGCCTAGGTGCAATCTAAGTTGGACTATTCCTAAAGGACATGAAAAAGCTTAAGAGTAAATTTAAAATTCTCAAAATAAAAAAAATCACTAAATTTAAAGATGTGGGGAAAAAAATGATGTAAAAATGGCCCTGGTTCAAGAAGTGATCATTCTAGTCTGAAAGGCTTTTGACAAGAATTAAGGGATTTCATCTGAAATTACAGCATGATGAATTTTGAGTGGCTGGCCAGCCAGCTAGGCCATATGTGATATATGCATTAGAAGTCAGCCATGGCATGAGTACTTTCCTCTCTGTCATGGAGAAGGGGAGACCCTTCAGAATGGCTGAAATCGTGTACACAGAGTGGCATAAAATCAGCCTCAGCTGGGGGCCTGGGGGAGCAAGGATGGAAATTACACAGTATTTCCCAACTTCGGGAGACAGCACCCTCTGAGACATATGGATGGTGACCAGATAGGCTGAGACAGGTGTACTACACACTCTGCAGTGAACTGTCCCACTCCAGATGCCAGGAGTGATCTCACTACAGAGCAGCAGAGCTGAGGGCAGTGAGTGGAAAGGAGCTCTTGTTTGAAAGAGCTTAGGGAGGAGCAATAGTTTGTCTGCCAAGAGTACAAAAATTCATTATGCTATGAATTTAACATGAAATTCCTTCGTTTCCTAGAAATGTCAAAATAGCAACAATACATTCTAGCCTTAAGTCATTTGAATTTCCCGTCGTCCAGATGAGTTTGCCTATATTGTCCATAGAGCCGTTCTAGTGATCTCATTTGATTTGCTTCCAACCATCTTTCATACACCATGTTTGTGCCTGTTGGAGGGAGGTAGCTCTCTAGTATAAAAACTGAGGCATTCAGGAGAAGTGAAAAATTATCACAATATATAAAAGTTCAGATTGTAGCTGTTCTAAAACTGAAAGTACTCCATTGTGATAGGGTAGCATCTCGAGGAGGTGCACATGTTAGCAGTAGAGGTCCTGCATTGTTTTTCT